ATTTTTTTTTTTTTTTTTTTTTCTGGCTCACATCTGAAGCAAAGTAAATAATTCTACAGAATTAAGGAGCACAAACCTTGAGGCAGTTAAGGTGTGTGCCTCACACAACAAAGGCATGTGCCCCTATAAACTCCCTCACAATCATTGCCTTTAGGCCTTTTTCCTTGCCTCAATTGGGCTTTCTTAAACCATGGCTCTGATGAATCTTTCTTTGTGAATTTCGATTTTGTCCCTTTATTAGATGCACTATCTTGAATTCTAACTTATGCACGGGTCATATGAGCCTATGAAATATGATTTGGTGGGAAAACAAATCAAAAAATAAAATCGTACATCTTTGTGACTTTGTGCTTAGTTCAAAAAATATTTCATCATGATCAGGAGAACAAGTGGAGAATAATCACTGCCTTAAAGTGAATTTGAGTTTAATCACTTGCATTTCTATAATATCATGCTAAATTTTGCATCTTAATTTCTTTGCAAGTCCTACATTCACTAAAATTACATTTCATGTAGTCAGTTCAACTCTGACTAGTTTTAGATCATTTTCTTTACAGACACCCTATCGAGAGCTCGAAGGGAGAAATGAGCCTTTGTCTAATCTCATTCGTCAGGGAAGTATCTTAGTCAAAACCAATACACCAACGGATCAAATCTTGTATTACCATGACTCAATTTCGTCATAAGTAAAACAAACAGAAATAATCTTGAAGTGTTCTCTTCATTCTAGCCTCCATTTGGGCTTCATTTTTCCAAGAACTCATTTTTCCAAAACTCATTTTCAACTAAATACTCTTCCATAAAATAATTTTACACGTAAGCCCCAAACATTTCATTATCTTTTAACCACACATTTTTCAAAAACTCATTATTCTAAAACACGTCTTCCCCCGAAAATGGGGGTTGACAGGGGCTTAGTCGTCCGATCAGTGAAAACTCTCTAGACTTTTCTGCCTAGTTTACGCTGACGGTATATTAGCTGGGTACCAAAAACCAATGCGACCTAAATATGGATTACTCTGTTTAAGCCCCATCATTTACTCATTAAAATGAAAAATATGACCATTATTCATCACATTAAGTTACAAGATTTGACTTTTTATCTCTTGTGTGGGGTCCATAACAGCTATATTTTTCATTCTTATTTTTACAATAATGTGACTCAAACGGGGGCTTAAAATGCATATTGAAACGAAAGAATCTATTAACAAGAAAAAGAGAGTTCATAATTATATGTGAAATGAATAGATAAGAATTGCATTTTGATGCATCTTCCATGGGCAATTATTGTATTATGATTGACCTTATAATGTTAATCTTTTATTAAGCCAGGTACAACAGTAAGCATCTGTCTGTTCAATCAAATCATCTAATTTTTTAACTAACAGATGCTCAAAACATTTTGCAGGCAGAGAAGATTGGCCCAATAGATATGTTGATGTTAGAGATGTTGCTCATGCACATATTCTAGCATTTGAAAATTCTTCAGCCATTGGCAGATACTGTCTCGTTGAATCAGTTACACATTCTTCAGAAGCTCCAAAGGTTTTAAATAGGCTTTACCCTTTCCTTTACCCTTCCCTCAGTCTCTCTGCAAAGTAAGTCTTGATATGCATTAATCAGTTCAAGTTTTCTTGCTCTTCTATGAATCAACATATTCAAAATATGCATCGGAAATTTTCTAATACATGGTTAAAGACACGCAATTCATTCAATTTAAAAATTTCAGATTTGGTTTTCACAGATTGAGGTAAGAGACTGAAATGGTATATTTACCCACTGGTTATTACATTATATACTACTTAATTAGATGATATCATTTGCAAATATGTTCAGCTAATTTATGCATTAGATGATCCATGTTTCTGTCTTGAGAGATTCTTTCATTTCTAGCACTTACTCTGACTCGATTAAGATGAAAAGGGTGCAAAAATAGGTATTTTGGGATAAAACTCAGATGAAATAGCATAAGCCAGGGACTTCCCCCAGGGGAGTGAGAGAGAGAGTTACCTAAGTAAACGGAGCAATTTTAAAGAAGTTATATTTTCTCGGCATGTATAGCATCCTATACTGGACACAACACGGATGAACCTGACTAAAAGAAGAGATGCATGCAAAATATTTCTTCATTGTTTTAGAATTGTTTTATCTTTTAACATTCCATGTTATTGCAGTACCACAGATAATCATGCTGGCACCCCTCCTTACCAAATATCCAAAGAGAGGGCAAAGAGCTTGGGCGTCAATTTCACTCCTCTTGAGGTCAGCCTTAAGGACACTGTTGAAAATCTCAAGGAGAACAAATTCCTCAGCTTCTAACATTTACAGTGGTGCCCATTTGATTGGCTTGAATTGTACTGTAACAAGAGTTTCAAAAATGTGTAGAATTTAAATTTTCCTTGTAATAAATAAGTTCGAATATTAATAAATCTTGTCTATTTCATTACTTGCTATTTTTTAATACAATTCCATCTTTGTTTGTGTTGGGGAAATTGGGTGATTTGTATGCAGATTTTTATCAATTAACATAACAAAATAACAAATACAATTTAATAATAATATAAACATAAAAAGAGAAGAGTTAGAAATGCAAGCTTTAGGGAGTCATGTCAAGGACGACGTCCTAAAGTCGTGTTGTCTCCCTTTCGTGTGTGTATTTTTGACACTACACGGTTTCAAAATAAAACACATATGACTCATAGTTGGTTCTCTTTCTATGGGTACGACTATAGGGAAATAAGTGAACGAATCTTTATCGAGTTGCCAAAAGTATATGAATATAAAATGTATAGGGAGTACTTTCAAGTGGTATTTAAGATATATACAACAATGAAATCAAATCACCTTTTATAGGTAAAATTTTAGCATCCACACTTATACCATTAAAACAAAAATTACAATATGTATTATGGTGTTTTAATTTTATGTTAAAACTGAAAATTAAAATGTTTTAATTTGAAAGATTGAAACTTTTATTCTTAAATTGCAACAATCCTCTACAAGTTTTAATATATAATATAGAGTGGCAACGTTATACTATGTAATAGGTGTAGGTATCTTTTGAATTTGAACATCATTTAGTGATAACAATTTTCATTTGAGAGAACTATAATGGATTAAGTCTTGAATTAGGTCCCTTTAACCAAACTTCAATCGTTACACACACAATATCGATTTAAACTCTAATTCATAACGGGTGGCGTTTTTAATGGCCATGCGCTCTAATCTTGATTCTAGTAAGGGTCTATAGGGAATAACTCAATCCCATAGCCATGGGTCTCGTGGCAACTCTTATATAAGTGAGTCCTTCAAAGGTGTGTGTGACCTACACCTCTCGAAAATTCTCACATCGGTACTCATTCGGGATTAAACCTTTTTTAGCATCACATTATTATTAGCACCATCATCATAGGATTGAGAACAAATAAAATATACTATTACAAATTACGGTACGAGTTATTTTTAACACATTGCACCTTTTTTATTGGATCTCCAATCACAAATGCTCCGTTACTCCCGTAGATGACTCTTTTATGGACTTAGCTTATCTCCCACAATGATTTATTATGTTCATTAAGGACTTTAATTTATCATGTCCCTTTTGTACAATAATTTAGTATTATCAATTTGCAACTCTTCCTGCATATCTGCAAAGTCACCTAAGAACTTTTTCAAAAATGTCAATATCACATATTTAATTATAATAAGATAACTTCATGAAATTTTTATATCGACTTCTATTATCATGGTTGGATGGATCATCCATTGAGCTCTTTCACTTCACAATTCACATGCAATCTTCAACTTCAATATGTACATTTTCCTCAAAATGTATACAGTTTATATATTTGAAATTTTTAATACCCCCACATTCCAAGGATTTTTAACACTCCCCACTTGAACAACATAATTGAACACAATGATACTAATGTATCGCAAAACATTAGACAATAAGAATAATAATTAACATAACCATAAAGTATCAATTATGGTTTAACAATATTAATCTAAGTAAACATATAGTAATAAAGCGTCCAACTTTATGTAGGTAAACGTGGAGGCATTTGGTTACGAGTTCGATTCTCCCTATCAACACTTTCTCGATCGAGCCGGTCGTACAGGACTTGTCTAGTGCGGTTTACCTGACTGGTGGCTCGAGAGTTTACCCGGTGCGCACCCGAAAGGTAGCCACTACCAGTTCCCTTGTCATTAAAAAAAAAAAAAAAAAAAAAAGGTCCAACTTTATGCACTGATTGTGAATAATATATTTTGATCACGTCACAAATTGTGTCTCACTATACTCGAACCATCGAGTATACAATTTGTGACATCTTATATGATCACGGAACCTTAGATAATTGTTTCAAATTATAACACATGAATGATCAAATATTAATTCATAATGTCATTTTACAAAATACTACTCGAGGGTCATCAAACTAGCATACGGAATTTTAGCCATTCTCTCATACTATTCTCCAGTAGCAGGACTCCTATAAGGGGAATGTTTCTATGAACTCTCAAGTGGCATAGAAATAGACCTTGCTTAAAAAATTGAAATTATTTTAAGTATTTTAGAAATATATGGTCTCTGATTTATAAAATGTTTTCAATTTTTAGCTGCTTATTTTCATTCCTAGCACCGTTCTAGCAAGATCTACATGTGCGGATCTAGGGATAGACAGGGTGAAATTAGCTATTTAATCAAGTCAGTTGTGAGTCAATTTTTTACATAATTCCCAATTTTGAGGAAAGATTCTTGATTCCATTTCAAAGTACGAACTGCGTATTTCCTAGTGCACCTTTCAATTTGCGAAACTATGTACTAGACAATGAGGTCTCAACAATGAGTTAAAAATGGTTGCACAAAATTGGTTCATTAAATGATCTTCACTTTTTTTTACTTATTTTCATGCTATATTTTCTCAATCATGAAGATAATTATAATATAGTTTTGAATAACTCACAACCAGCTATGAGGCATATATTTTGAAATGAAAAATCATTAAACCGTGGACTTCTAATAGTTGGCAAAAGATGACTATTTATCGTATTATATAGGCAAATTTAAATATGACTCATTGTGCCCTATTTTGATATTTTAGTTTTCCTCGTACTTTTAGTCAAGATAAATGTTGTAAAATTATGGAATTGATATTAAGTGCATGTTTGGTGGCAATTTTCATTCAAATTTTAATCCATTATTGAACTATTAGTAGCCGCAAATTTTGACTTCCCTCACACTCAAATGCAGACGTGGGACCCAATAACGGTAAAAAAAAAAAAGAATTTGAGTCATTCAAATAGTGGAGCCAAACAAGCGCTAAGATGGAAAAATTTAGGGGGATATAGTGCTTTGGTTACTTGAATATTCATAAATGTTTCCGAACCAATTAGTGAGATAATTAGATTAGTTATATTTTTAGATTGTTAATATAAATAATTGATCTATATATAATTGTAGTGTTCTATTAAAGTTAGTGATAATTGGAACTAATTAGATACTTAGTCCCAATGGCATCGATACTTACTCTCACTTTCATTTTATTACTTCTTTACAATATTGCCCACTTACGAAATTTTAGTGTAACTATTGTTAGAATATAGTGGTGTTAATGAAATCAGATTATCACATATCGTATATGTAGTTTAGATACCGATTTTGAGTATACCGTATATGCAATATACCGTATATATAACTTATCGTATTTGAAGGTAGTTTACCATATTTGCAGACAGCTTACCGTTTTTGTAGCTTACCGTATATGCTGTCTACTGTATATACTTTTAACCGTATTCGCACATATTTTCTTTACCCTTTTCATATATACCGTATTTTCAAATACCTATTTTACTCTTACACATACCAAAATTACAGAATATCTTTTTCAGATTTTTATTTTTAACATAAATAGAAATTAACGTAGATTAATTTTAATAAATATAAATAGAACGATAACATAATAAAACATCAGATTATATAAATTACACGAACAAACGCTAAATAATTAAATCTGCAAGAATAAATTGCAAAGGTGTAATCGCAAAATAAATAATTAATGGGCTAATTTCCAACCCAAGACCTGTGCGAACACAATTTCCTTAAAACAGATTTGTCCCCTCACCGTAAGTGCTTGAAGTCTAATCCGAGTGTCTGTTTTTCAGGATACAATAATAAAACCCTTAGAATCTGAACACCACAGATACTATTCTGGCGAACTGACACAACATCTGAACAATATCACCACGATCTTACTGGACAAATATGCATATGCAGGAAGAACTGAAAAATAGCAGAGATGAAGAGGACAATTTTTCATTTGTTGGAAACTGAGTTTACTTATATAGACTTAATCTATCTATTAACAATTGGAGTTACATCAATTTCTGCAGTTTCAAAAACTCCAGAGTCAATGGAGAAAGAAAAAAGATAACAAAAATGGACACTCCAAATGGGCCAATTTTTACTCCATTCCGTCCGACATAGTGTAAAGAGGTCGCTCCCGCACACAAGTTCAAAGTCCAAAGGCAATTTCGATCAATGATTTGCACTCCCTGCGCATGCACGTAGAGAGAGCCTCTATACTACACATAATTACACATTTTCAATGTGCAACCATATTTAAAGTGATTCTTGTTTTCATATTTTTTCTATGTTGGACAAACATTTTTTGCACATAAATTATCTTTCAATAGTCATCTTTGAACTACAATTTCTCATTCATCCATTCATCAATTCTGGCAAGTAAATCTATGTTTTGATACTCTCATGGAGGAGAACACGGGTCGTTTGCAACTCCCTCCTTTCAGCCTAGGATTGACTTTCTCAAGATAGGTTTAAAGTCGATTAGTCTAGTTAAGCTAATCCACTTGATCTTCATCATATATTATAGGATAAAGCTTTCTATGGGATGTTCTTTGCCTCGTAGAGTTCTCAACCTGTCTACTGATTGGATAGCTTATGATCTCTAGTCTGGGATTGAGATGCAAAGACGAAAGAATATGGTAGAAGGAGTACAACAAGCAATCAAAGGACTGCAATTTGGATCAACGGGTCCCACCAAAAATTATGTCAAAAGTGAGTCATTTACTTATTTTTTTTCCAACAACTGTGACATTTGATTGACTTGTATTTTTGTGTAAAAGATTTCCCAAAAATGTGTAAAATTTCAATTTTCATTGTAATAAAGAAAGTCGAATGCTAATGAATCTTTGTTCATTTCATTTTTCTTCTCTCTAATGCAATTCTATCTTATCTTTTTTTATTCCTTCTCTAGTTTTCCACAATATTTCCGACTTTTCTATTGATTATTTTCAAAATCTTGTTATGTTCTCTCCATTTCTCATTATTTTTGTCATTTCTTAAGCAAGATTTTAAGATTACTGCCTGGATTGGCGTCTTATAAGTGGAATTCCATAAAAATATACTCAAAAAGGAATTTCTAGTCCTACTTCCACACTCCTAATGCTAATGTAAAAAAAAAAAAAAAGGAGCCAATTGGAAAACAAGAATCATGCTTTTAATCCTACAAGATACCAACAAATGAACTATATCATTTGATCTCTCTATCAGCCATAAATTGTTTCTGGACCTTTCCGTAAAGTCCCGAAAATTTTCATAGAATAAAATTAATTATTTTATATGCTATATTTTTAATATTTTGGAAAGTCATCGACTATAGTGAGTCAATTCATTTTTATTTGGATCAAATAGTTAAATTTCGATAGAGCGAAGATAAACATATCAATATTAGACTCGTTAGATAACTCGTATTTAATCATATATATTAAGGCTAAAAAAAGTTAAATCGAATAAGTGAGATCTAAGATATTACACCTCATAGAAGTTGTTATTATTTGGTTTTGATTTAATTAGGGGTGTGGCCATGTGTGGGTTAAATGGAAAAGTATGGTTTTGATTTATTTGTTTTGCTTTTGAGGTTTGATAGGATTTGGTTGCCAAATAGTGGTTGAATAGGGGTTGTTGAAAGGTCATCAATTAGCTTTTATTTTATTATTTCTCATATTTTGGTGTAGATTTCCTAGTAAGCCACGGGTCCCATAAATTTGTTGTTTGGAATACTTCATTTTAGATGGTAGAGACATGTTTCTTGAAACGTGGCATTTTCTGCACGAAGTCCCATCCCAATTTATTTATTTATTTTTTATGTTGTTGAGTTATTATATTTATGAAAGTTAAAAATATGATATGTATGATATGACCATTCAGTGTCAAAGATATGATATGTATTAAGCTCTTATCATCCTTAAAGATATGATAAAGTATGATATTTTGACCCATGATTTAAATATTTAATTTCGGGTTGACCATGATTTTCGTGTCCCATTGAGTATTCCCATTTACTTATCCTTTTGTCCTACTCCCACATGTTAGAAAAAGTCGCTGGTTAACAAGCGATAATGTGCAATCGTGATATCAGGATTTATGAAACTCAATAATAATTATCCGATGAAATTTGACTACGAATTTTATTTCAGCATTTGTTTTAGTTTCATTATTATTGTGGAAATTTTATTTAAAGTAAGAACATGTTCATTTGGTTATGTTTCCTATACGTTTTATTTTATCATTGGTTGAAAAAAAAAAAAATAGTGCTGGGATGTTGATATGTTTATTTAAATTATGGAATGAACATTTAGTAACGATTTGAATTTTAAAATTTGGGTCGTTACACTTTTTCCTTTATTGGCTACCATTAAATTAAATTTTATTTTTCTCTCTCCTATTTTCAATCACACAATTTTCCATAAAATAATATTACACGTAAATCGAAATTTTTTCCTTCTATTTCAATTGCTCATTTTTCAAAAAATTACTATTCTACCTATTTCAATTTGAAAAAATAGGAGCCAAACGGAGAAGGTGCATAATCTCGTGAATTATTTCTGGATAAATTAAGAAATTACCTGTAAGAAACGTAGCATTTCTTGGCTTCTTTTGACTTGATTTTTCTCTGAGAGCTAAGTCTAGTTGCCTCCCACCAATTCAATGGATGAGAAGAAATGGACAAACAGATCCGGACATCAACTACAAGCCTGCAACTATATTAAGGATTTGCTTGATGTATATGTTTTGGGAATAAATTTTGTGACAAGTGATATTTTTTAATAATGTGTCATTGAAAAGTAAAACAAAAGATGAGTCCATGTGTGAAGTTAATTTATTTAAAGAATGTACGATTAAAAATAAATTTAAAGAAAATAATCTTTAAAGAATTTGTCGCAAACATGACTTAAATAAGAATAATTCCCAACGTACGGCGAATTATTCACAGAAGCCATAACCTGTATGGTGCAATTTCTACCCTTATTCAATTCAAAATAAATGAATTTTTGCCAAGTACTGTTCTGTAAAAATTCTGTCAGATATTTTCTGTACTTGTAGCGCAACACCTTAAATAAATCTTACTTTTAAAATTGATTGTTAATAGACTATAAATTTTACAAAGACAAGACAGACAACTCATGAAAAATAAGTTGTCCTTGTAATGAAAGTTCAAAAAAGGTTAAAATCTGACTTTAGGCTATCCATCCATCTACGTCTTTTAAAGGCTCGACAAAGGAAATTAAAAGGCTTAGAATTGAAGAGTGAAATAGAAGATGAGTGGTGCGGGAAAGGTGGTGTGCGTGACAGGAGCCTCCGGCTACATAGCATCATGGCTGGTCAAGTTTTTGCTTCAGCGCCGTTACACTGTTAACGCCACAGTCCGCAATCTCAGTTAGTAACCCCCCCCCCCCGCCGTCTCTCTCTCTGATCTCTTACGACTTACAGATAAATATATGTATCTCTCTCTTTCTCTCTCTCTCTCTGGTCTCTTACACAAATATATGTAGCATGCTTTGTTTGATTTACCTACTTTCTTGATCATCTGTTTGATACAAATAGTTGGGTTTTAAATTTTCTTTTTCGTGTAATTCAATGAATGATTTACGGTTATGCTTAGGGAAAGGTTTAGAGATTGATGGACTTGACAGAAAAGTTCTATTGGAAAATTTTCATATAAGTTGCAATATTGAAGTCAGACATTCTACAGATGGCATTTTGGGAGGTCCCTGCTCATTTGTTGCAAAATTTTGTACACGTAGTGTTGGGAGTTTGATCGATAAAATCTTGTAAATAGAGAACGAGTAGAGTGTCGTTCGAATCATTCCCACGAGAACTGAGAATTTAATATATTTTTCAATTATGCTAAGTTTATTCGAGTAGCAAGATTAAATATAAAGAAATTTTATATTAACAATCTAAAATCTATCCTAAATTAACAGTTCTAACTACTTAATGTGGAAGTTATTATTATTATTAGAGAAAATTACCTAGAAACCTGAGTTTAAAAACCAATTTTCATAAATAGGAGGGATTAAGTTTAATTTCATAGTTCAGGTGCTAATTAGAAGCCATTAAATAAATATATTCCCAATAATTCAACCTACCTATTCCTAACTCCCACACACCACACCTTCTCTCTCTCGTGTTCCCATCATTGTCGGACAGGCGTTTATGCTACTTTCATTTTTCTCTGATCCGAAAACGCCTATATATAAACCACCGGCAAATGAATGGGATTTTCATCTTTCCAAGGAAGAAGACTGTGAGGGAATCTGGTCAAGATGAGCTACTGCTGTTTTTAGTGATTATATTACAATAGCGTTGTGGATTAGGGTTTTTATGAACCTTGATTTTGCAATTGGTGCACGCCTGAGGAAAATCTGGGGTTAAGTTTGTTCTATTTGTTTTGATTGATGTCGATTTTGTTAATTATATGTGCTTAGGGTTTGAATTCTAGGTTTAGGTTTTGTTATGGCTTTTCGATTTAGTCATTTTATCTTGCAGTTCATGCTTCCTTGATGGATTGTCACGATTGTGTTAGAATTACGGTGTTATGTCGAAATGCTAGGGTTTTAATGGGATATGATTTGTCGATTTCTTAACATCTTTTATTTATTTCTTGATAATTAGTGTTCGGATGCGGTTATTGATTTAGTTATAATATGAGGTGGCAAGTAGGTTGAAATATAACTTAATTTAGGAATTTTCAACGAGGTGTAAGATCCTTTTCTTGGTAAAAGTTTGAGAATGTGATTCTAATGCAAGTCTGTAATTGGGATAATGTGCAGATGGCTCATATGAAGCAAACTGCTTGTAAGTCCACTGGAGGAAAGACTCCTAGAACTTGCTACTTAGGTTCTTCATTGTTTTTTCTACTTATGATTTCTGTAATATATTTTTGTAATCGAGATAATTAAAAGCACCTATGATCTTTTCCCCACAACCAGTAGGGGAGAAAAACTAAGCTATTTTCTATAATGTTCCCTTCACAAGATTGATTGGTTTAGCTGATAGTAGGGGTGTGTTACTACTGAAAAGCATTTTTGGTTTTATTTTTTTCCTATGTATTGCATATAGTCAGCTAAATCATTCCAAGTATTTGAAAGTTATGTTCTTTTTATAGCCAACAAGATATAAAGAAATGAATGTGTGTTAAGTGTGCTAATTTCCTGATGGTATGTATAGGGATAAAGCAAAAGTGGCTTTTCAGGCACATGATCTCCCATCCTAACCTTGAATGCAAGTGCTTTTATCATATTGTATTCTTTCAGCCTGAGCATTACTTTAGATTTTGATTGAGGACGAGAATGTTACAGTAGTCATAGGTTGAGAATGCATTTGAATAAGAATTGTATTTTCCTAGGAGGAAAGGCTCACAGGAAGCAACTTGCTACTAAGGTTCTCCATTGTTATTGATTTTTTTTTCTTCTTATGAATTCATCCATGTAATATATTTTCGCAAGGTTTCATCTTTCACTGCTGTGGTACGGTGCGATGCCAATAATTTTGTTGCTAGTAGTACACGTGGTTCTGGTGAGGTGGTATACTTTTGGTTGCCAGTGTTGGAAATGGTGGTGAGTGACCAAATATATATTAATTGTGACCGTCTGTGACCAAATTTGTGTTAACTGTGACTATATGTGACTTGGTTACATATAGTCACAAATTAGACTACCATGGTTACAGACAATCACACCGAAGACAAATTTGGTCATGAACACATAAGATCACAGTTCATATGCTATGGGTCACAATTCGCAGTTAAGGTCACAGTTCACTGGTCACAGGTTTGAGTTCACAAGTCACAATCATTTCATATAAGTCACAAATCAGTATAGATGAGTCATAAATCAATATTAATAGGTTACATGGCGTTTTGTAGTAGTCACGGATCAAATTTATAGATCACATTTTATGTGACAAGTCATAGGTAACAAATTACAGGTTAAAAAATATATTTTATACGTAACAATGTGCACATGTCATAGGTTATTACTCAGAAAAAGAAAAGAAAAAGATTTGTGAATTGAATATATTTAATTACAAAAATATTTTGTGATCGCTAAATAAGTCATGATCGATTAATTTAATAAATTGTGATCGAGAAATAACTCGTGACATATAAAATTTATGATTTATGATTGAGAAATAAGTCGTGACCAATTAGTTTGATAAATTGTGATAAAAAAAAATAACTTGTGATCTATTAATTTGATTATTTGTAATTGTGAAATAGGTCGTAATTTAATTTGTGGGGTGGGGTGGGGTGGGGTGGGACAAAATGTGATTGTGACTAGTTGGATAATTGTGATTAAAAAAATAAATAAATGTGATCTAAAAATTGTGTTATTTGTAATTTAATTTATAATTGTGACCTACAATTTGTATATTTATGATCCATAGCTAAGTTACGATCACTTAATTTGATAGCATGTGATGTTGAAATAAATTGTGATCAATTAATTTGTAATCGATAAATAAGTTATAATCAATTAACTTCAAAATTTGTGACCGATAAATTAGTTTTGACCGATAAAATGTATGATTTGTGACTAAATTTGCAATTATGACCCACATTTTATTCTTTGTGACAGTGACGTTCTGTGATTTATGGCTCGTATGTAATTGTAACCATAAATTATATGTTATTTTGACCTACAATTGTGTTTATGTAATTGTAACCTTGTATGATTTGTTATCGACATATGAACGTGATCCCAAATTATGTGTTAATTTAATTGTAACATATTTATTTAAATTATATGTCACAAAATTCGACATCTAATTTTGGAAAAAAATCATGATTTTAGAAAAGGAAAATGTAAGACATAAGAAAGAAAGAGAGAGAGTGTAAGGTGTAGTAGAAAGATTTCTTAAACATTTGTATTTATGATTTATTTTTCAAAATTAACGAAATTGTTAAAAAATTTCAAAAAATTGGTGATCACATTTGTGACCTCTAAAACAATGATATGACCTATAATTGAAATTAAAACAAATCACAAAAACATTATATAATTTATTGATCACGGTCACACTAAGTCACAACTAACACAAAGTCTGAGTCATATAACACACAATTACATATTAAGTAGTATGTGATCTCGAATAAATGTTATGACCTATAACTGAAATTAAATAGTTTGCAGTCACAAATCATACAATATATTGATCACAATCACAGACTAAATCATAAATCACACAAAGTCGTAGTCACATACCATACAATTACATATTAAGTCATACGCGACTTTAATAAATGTTATAACCTAAAAGTGAATTTAAACATGTCACAACCTTATACCATACAATTTATTGGTAACAGTCACATACAAAGTTATAAATCACATGAGGTCAAGTCACGTACCACACAATTTATGAATTACGATTATATTTAAGTCATGTGTGACCTCTAATAAAATTTATGACCTATAATAGAAATTGAACGGGTCACTATCACATACTAAACAATTTATTGATCACAGTCACACACTTAGTCACAAATTACAAAAAGTTGTAGTCATATACTATTCAGTCTATGAATTATGATTACATATTAAATCATAAATCTCAATTAATAAGTCATTAATTATTTATTAATCACAAATCATGCTATTCACCGGTCACAATCACTAATTTAATTATTTTAGTGGTCACAATCACATAATAAATACAAATTACATAATTAATAAGCCACAAATAATTTGATGATCAATTTTGCCGAAGGCCCCATCTTCAATTAGTATTAGCCTCTCATCTATCTATAAATACTAATACTTTGAATTATTTATTTATTTATTAAAATCACTGTGCAGGCTGCCCGCCTATTTGCTTTAATAATTCCTTATAGAAAGGAAAGAAAGAAACAAAGCATTTCTTCCCTCTTTCTCCTCTACCACTATGGTACTTATCTTCCTTAACACCACCATTCAAAAATTGAGTGATAGGCTACAAAATAATACCATAAGACTACCAAAGCCAGGTGAGATTCTTAAAAATTGGGGCCTTCACTCGTCTAGGTTTGTACAAATCGGTGTCGGATGAAGAGATCGCCTCCACCAACAAATCCAAACAATTATATTCTTAGAAGGATTATCTCCATCTCTAGTCCCAATCCCTGATCACATTTCACAGTAGCCATTAAGAAAAGAGTTTTAGTTTTGAATTATCGCAATTTTCTGCTGGGAGTCAGTAAAGATGAAGATGAGGAAATTAGATAGTTTTGTAATTGCAACCATGTGTTCCATAGAGAGTTTAGAGAGGTAAATGATGGATGGAGTACCAATCGAGGACAATGTCTCCGAAATTTCCACCACCTCTAGATCTGTTTGCTGGAATAATGAAGGAACCCTAAGGAAAGAAAGTAGAGAGATGTTATTCTGCAAGAAAATGAAACAACTAGAGAGGGAAGAGATGAGTGGTGTATATATTCTCAAAAAAAATAAAAAATTACAACCTGACTTTTGAAATATATTTTAAGTTTGTTAGAAATGAAATTGTATATTTAAAACATTGTATTTATGTATTTTTCCCTTATTATTATTATTATTATTATTATTATTATTACTATTACTACTACTACTACTTGGGCCTGTTAAAATAGAACCCACCTAAATTGTTATTATTATTATTACTACTACTACTATTTGGGCCTGTTAAAATAGAACCCACCTAAATTGGTTAGATTCAATTCGGTTTTAAAACTAAGTTAGGTAGGTGGATTATAGTTTTGGATTCGGCTCAAAATTGATGCGACGCACCCTACCCCTACATTTTAGGTAGTATGAGTGTCTTAGTGCTTGTTTAGGAATAAATTATAATCGGTAGAAAAAAAGTCACGAATAAAAAGTAAATTTATCCAATCATAGTTATAAATTAAGGTCTCAAACAAACAATGGTCATAGGAACCTGGAGAAAAGGAATAATAGTTAATTGTCAAAATAATCACTAAACCTAGGTTGACGTCTTCGATTGCTCAATACACTTTAAGATATCGAGTTTTTGCCACTAAATTTTTCGAAGTGTCGACAATTCATGAAATCACTTTCATTCCGCGTCTCTAACGAAATAGATGACTTGATATACGAATTTCACAGCTGGCATCCCATCATTGTTAGATGCCCAATCTTGAAAGAGGGACAATTCACGTAAACAAGACATTTTTTATTGCTCACTATACTCTAACAGATGTCTTTGATTGCTCGCTATACTTTGAGTTGGTTAAATTTTGATCATTAAACTTCTCAAAGTGATGACGAGATGCTATGGAAACATAAGTTTTGTTCATTTTCTATATTTAATGTTAGGAATGGGCGCGGTCCTGATTGATTTGATTCCAAAAGGAACCAATCGTACTGAATACCAATGAGAATTTTTGAAATTGAACCATTGGTTCTATAGAACTATGGAATCGAACCGGAACCGAATCAATCGGTTTTGATTAGGTCCAATTCAATTCTTTACATTGAAAATGTTAAAATAAAATGTTCACTAATAAAAAATCTAAAGATGCTAACAACTTGATACTTTTAACAAAATATAGAAGAACTAAACATTTCATTCAAAGATTAAAAGAAAAATATACAAATTTAAAAATAATATCCAAATAATATAAGTTACTATCCTCAAGCAATTATCAACTTATATAAACTGCATAGTACTCCAATGATTAAAAAAATTCCATTAAAATCAACATCCTAAGTTGAATTGGACATCCTTTCAAAATTTATTGCAACTTCTGGTTCCGTCGGTTATAATTTGTAGAAATTTAAATGAAAAGTTTCAATCGGATCAACAACCATGTAATCAAAGTGAAAATAAAATAAAAATTTTGCATCTTAGAAATGAAATTATATATTGTAAATAAATTTATTTAGGTATAGATTTACCAAATTCTCTAATTTGGTTTGAGAATCAATTAATCAAAAAATTATAAGAGAGAATCAAAGAATCAAAGAGAAGAAGAAAAGTGTTGGAGTCTAAAATGAAGAAGGAACACGATTATTTTTTAGACATGTGATTGGAGATTGAGTCTATAAAATAAAAAATCCTATGAGAACCGTCTGGTTCCTATACTAGAATCGGGAACCATATCGGAACCGATCGATTTCTAATAATTTGTCCCAAAATCAAATTGGTTTTTAGAAGATCTGGAACCCAACCGGTCGGTTCTAAACGATTTCGGTTAGGTTCCGGGAAAAAATGCCCACTCCTATTTAATGTTGTATTATTGTGGGTTTATAAAATTCTTTCCAGGCTAGACATTTTATTGAGTTATTTTGCTAATGAAATCTAATACAGGACACAATCAAATCAAACTAGATCACCATTCCCTACTAGTATTTTTACTTAAATTTTGTTTGATTGAGTAACTATACTTTAATTTAATTTCATTTAAGGTGACTTCGTCCGGATATAACTATTTGAAATGTTTCACCCTTGTTCAAATATCTTATTTTATTCCATGTGTAAAAGATCATGCAAATTAATGGCACTGACAATATAAAAATATTTTGTTTTTCAGTATTCTATAAACTCAAAAACATAAACAAGTATATCATCAAGAATACACATTCAAACAAATTAAAATCTAAATGAACTCCAATATAATTCCAAAATCACCTAAATTTTCAACTTCTACCGTTCAACATGACAACTATAAACATGTTGTCGAGTATCTTCCGTGATGATATTTTACTACAGAACTAAGATCATCAAGGATGACCTACCACCAAAAATCTATTCGTCCACATTATCCAATACTTACATTCAAAAACATCCAGCAAAAATTCCTTCATTATCAAATACTCGCATTAGAAAACATTTGTATCAATCAAAAATATTTGGAACATCTCTCCTCACTAGCGCACATTCTCACATCGGGGGCTTTTTCTAAGTGGAGAATGTAGCGTTTAAGACTATTTCTTATTTGCTATGAGGCAAATGCTCCTTCATTTGACTTGGTGGATTGTTTGCCACTTCCTCCGTCCGGAGTTAGTTTTCCTTGCAATGTTGGGTTCATTTGATTGCAAAGATAGAATTTGAGTGGAAAGAAAATAAATTCAGAGAATTAAATTGTCTAGAAATTGTTTTCATGGGAATTGTCAATTAATAGTGTTTGATTGATATAATTTCTCATTTGGAAAATATTGAAATTAAAGTGTCTTTTGGTGTTTGTTTGACTTTATTTTTCATGAAAATTGTCAATTTAAGGGATATTCACTTATACAATTGTTCCTAAAATTTGTTTCCACTGAAAAAAAAAAAGATCCAAAATTATTTATATTTTGGTGTTCGTTTGACTTTGTTTTACTTAGAAATTGTCAATTTAAGGGAGATCCAATTTTACAATTGTTCCTAGAATTTGTTCTCATTACCAAAAAAAAAAAAAATGCCTAGAAAACAAAATGACACCAAAACCATAAAAATGTCATTTCCACCAAAACAACGAAAAACAGGTCACGTGCCCTAAACCTAGAAAATGAATTGCCAAGAAAATATTGACTATCAAACAAGCCATTAGTTGATAAATGGTTGAATATTTTCCATCTCTCATGGAATTGAAATTCTATCAAACATAGCCTCAATCTTCTCTCTTTCAGATGGCACTGACTCCAGCGACATGTTGAGCGATTTCTAAATGGAACAAGAACTGGTTAATAAACATTATTAAGCATTGAACATAGTTTATAGTTTGACAAAACTTACGGCATCTGGAGTATCGGCCATCGCGTTGTATCTTTCGTTGTGCCCATGCTTGCCACAGACGGATGGCATAATTCAATGAAATGTTTTGAAAAGAACTTTCTAAACACGTAATAACACAACATTAAACACCGAAAATAAACGAAACCCGTGTTTCGGTATCATCTCGAAACATGAAAACGTCACCTGTGTCCTCTTTCGTTCTAACGGTATGGGTGCCAACTGTGAAATTCAGCTATCAAGTCAACTATTTCGTTAGAAACCTGAAACGAAAGTGATTTCAACGAGTAATATTCGACAATTTGAGAAGTTCAGTGGCCAAATTTGACATTGAGCAACCGAAAATAATTATTATAAGGACAATTAACTTGAGGGACACTATCTCCTTCGGCCCAACGAAGAGAAAAAAGTTGCTGGAAATCCGGTCAAGACGACCACCTGCCGCAACCGAACACACCCAAATGGAGATAAGACACTCACCCAGAAAAAAAGAAACGGAGGTTTTTTCGAAGAGGGATTTTTTATTTATTTATTTATTATTATTATTTTGGTATTGCTTCATGTTTTGTAATAATGTAATTAATGAATGCTACACATTCAGTCCCTGTTTGGCCCCCATTACGGGGAAAATTTAATGTATAGAATAGTGTTTTTTGAAAAATGAGTGGTTGAAAAAGAAAGAAAATTTTTCGATTTACTTGTAATATTATTTTATAGAAGATTGTGTGGTTGAAAATAGGAGAGAGAAAAATAGAATGTAATGTAATGTAATTTAATGAAAATCAAACAAGGGCTGAATTTATTGAGTTTTTCTCTCGTTTTTCCGAAATTCGAACACCTGCACTAATTTATCCGTTTCACTTGGTTCTGTATTTTACTTTAGCTACCTGTTCAATAATCATCCTTCTTCATCTACTCCACCTTTCAACAAGGAAACAAAATTTTATATCTTTGAGTTAAAGATTCTGTTAATCTTTTAAAAAGTTAAAGGAAAGTAGACAATGATGTTATAGAACATAATCAAGCTAAGAGAGAAATCTCCCATATGCATTTGACAGGACATTTCTTGTTTTCATGATCGAAAGACTTCACCGATACAGGTGATTCAAGTAATTTTGCACACTTGATGGAACTTGAAGGATCTAAGGAAAGATTACACTTGTTCCAGGCCAACTTAAGTGAAGATGGGTCTTTTGATTCTGCAATTGATGGCTGTGAAGGTGTCTTTCATGCAGCATCACCTGTGTTGTTTTCAGTGACTGACCCTCAGGTCAATTTAACTTTTCTTTATCCTATTATTTGGATGCTCAGCACTTCTCGTAAATGTCGTTAACTGGAAGATTTGTGTATCTGTGTTCTAGAATGCTGACAGGAAGAGCTTATTTGAAACGGAAAATAATAATAATAATAATAATAATAATAATAATAATAATAATAATAATAATAATAATAATAATAATAATAATAATAAGTTATGGAAGATATTGAACCCTAATACAAATGTTAGCATAACAGATATTAATATTTAACAAAGGATGTGGACTGTTTGAATAGTATACCTGCTCTAGTTATGTTGGTTTGGCTGGAAATTCTGGCATTGAATTTGATCTTGAACTTTGTAAAAGTGCTAAATTTAATGGCAGAAACCCGCAGACATTTGTATGAATTTGAAATCTGATATTTGTCCGTTAACTATTCTCAGTTATCAATCTTAGTTCTATTCAGTGCTATCTTTAGACTATTCATTTAAATGTATGATTTCATTGTATATGAAGATCTCAATTCTGAAATATCTGCTTGACGTTATTCTCTTCAATGCTTAGGTACAGGACATAATTGATGCCTCTGTCTTCTCTAATGAATGCTATCAGTTCTCCAAACCTTTACATTAGAGGCACAAAATCGAAGAGAGGTTCTTCTTCGAAACTAATGTAGCACCCTTGTTTGTCAAAAACTGGGATTCATGCATGCATTAATGAAACTATTGTTTCAGTAGATGCTTCCCAGAAGAACCGATGAACAGTTGTAAATTTCTGTATGATAACCCTAGAAATGGAATCTCAATTGTGCCCCTACAATGCCATGTTCGCGAAGCGTGTCGTTTGTAATGGAAAGAAAGATACCACTACTTCGCCTCTTTGTTGGACCGCCGGGCTAAATAAATTTCATGCAGTTTTTTTGGGGAGAGATTTAGATAACCAACGATGTTTTAGGGGGAAAGAAAGGTTTAAGTGAAGTTCCCAGAGGCAGGAAAGGAAATTGTTGAAGGTTTTTCCCCTCTACCTTACCGGGAGGGCAATCTTCTCTTATGGCCTTCACCTCCTGCCCGGCCCGGAAATAGAGAGCAAAAATTTTCCCTAAACTATATTTGACTTGATTGCCTTGATAAGAATCCAAATTCTTGTGCTTTGTGGGGACCAGATTGAGGAGGAAATCGCTGGACTGATCTATGTCGGATTAACACCTTCATCGGATGGATTGAGGCAGGAATGAATGCTTGATTGTTAGTGAAGCGGGGAAGAAAGAAGAGCGTTTGATCTACTAATAGCGGCATAAGAACAGCAACTATACTGGCCTTGCACAAAGTAGGAACAATTATCAAGAGGTGGAGTTCGATGTAGAGTAGGTCGTTCATTTGCACTATCCTTTTCCTCTCGTCCCACACACCCTATCTCATAGATATGGACATCATTCACCACCGTTCGAGCACCCTCCTCCCAGGGCTCTCTTCACTCCTTGCCATTGTATGTTTATAGATTGGCCATATTGAGAAAGTGAAGAAAATAAAGGAAATTATATTTTGATAGCACCTTACAATACATTGACAGGTTAATTGTTGTAAAAGAAGCAAAATTATGCAATAATGATTCATGTATGCGATAGAAACCTGGGACGATCACACTTCTGCAATTGCACTCTATAGTAATTGATGGACTTAAAACAGAATTTTAGTATTTCATTTGCTGACTTTGATTACAAGAAAAAGAGATCTGCTAACAGATTGGCAAAAAATAACCAAATAACAGTAAAAAGGAATAACAAGGATATGGACATTCGAGAGGTCCAATTCTCTCCCAAGGGCTACCAAATTCTACCTGCCTTCACTGGAATCGACTCCCTTATTTATAGGTTGCTCTGCTTCTAGATCATTCTCTCAATAGACTACGTAACTGTGCATGTGGCCCTCTTTTCTCCTGCATTCCCTTTTCTGCCCCTGCCCCTGCCCCTGCCCCTGCCCCTTTGTTGCGCCTTTGGTAGGTAATCTGGACTGCGGGCCTATCAGTATGCTTGTATATGAGAAAGTTTTCCCGTTACTGCTTTGATGCTATTGCAATTTTGCTTCATGCTTAGCTCTTTTTGATTATTATATTTTTTGGTAAAAGGCAGGTTGTATGAAGTCTTTGACTTACTAGCCAATTGTGTTCGTTTCAGGAAGAACTTATAGAACCTGCTGTGAAGGGAACACTTAATGTTCTTAGATCATGCAAAAAAGTACCATCCGTCAAACGGGTGGTGTTAACATCCTCTATGGCTGCAGTTATGTTTAACAGCAATCCTCTAAACCCTGATGGTATAGTTGACGAAGCATGTTTTTCAGATCCAGTATTCTGCAAGGAACAAGAGGTATGTAAACATCAGTGCTTTCATTTCTTTGGCATTCTCATCCGTTCGTTTTTTTCTCGATCTATCAAGGAAAAAGTTATTTTTAAATCTGACCTCCTGAAGGACCTGAACCCTGAATGCAATCCAATGAATATGAACTGCTTGAAAACCTGACCTTTGTATAAGTAGATGGCCTTTTCGAGAAAGCATTACCGTTTTCCAGTATAGTTTGTTTGTCTCACGTGGTTTATTGCCAGCATTACATTATTGGGTGCTTAATCTTTCATTATGAGACATCTATTTTAGCATGTAATTCTGATATAGCTTTTTATCTTATCTGATTTTATGTTTTCATACTGGGTTTTTAAGTCTGCTTGCATTTTTCAGGCTTCGAACAATTGAATTTGCCATATTTTACAGGTTTTACTTGCCTGTTTTTCTGCATTTCCTTCTGTTGGAATAAGCACGATACTGCTGGATGGTGTTGTAGTCATGTATGACACTTTCTTACGTCTAAGTAATTAGTTATTTTCCTGAATTTATTGAAATCTAATTTTAGCATGTAAACTTTTGATGTAGACTTCCATTGACTTGTTACTGAATGCTAGAGAGTTCTGTAGTATGTCAAAGTATAGAGGTCAATTTCAATTGTGCTGGTTTAAACACATCTTTTGTGGGTCTTATTTCACAGCATTTGTTTTACACGACATTCTATTGTCGAAACAATAGATAAGTGAAGCATTTTTATTATATTATTATAGCTTGAAAAAGTAACTGAGATCAGCCATGAATGTGAATGTGTAGTCTGAAAGTGTATTTCAATTATGTTAAAAATCCTGCTGCTGGTTTCAGCAATGGTATTGCCTTTCAAAAACTTTGGCAGAGGAAGTGGCATGGAAATTTGCGGATGAAAATGGCATTGACCTGGTAGTGATGAATCCTGGCTTGGTAATTGGTCCACTTCTTCAGCCAACTCTCAATTCAACTTCTGAGATGATTTTGAACATCATTAAAGAAGGTACTTTCTGGACACAATCAAGATCATGTGTGTGGCAATCTTTCCATGAATACAGATTTCATTCCTTTGAATAGAGTATATATAATTGCAAGACCATATATGATTGTTTTTATCTAATACTGTTGCTCTAATTGATCAAACCGTGACATTCTTGACTGTTACTACTTTTTGAGTTTATCTTTGTGCATTTAGCTTTCTATTCCAATATCTGCGTAAAACTACTAAAGGATCAATTTTAACATGTTGCAGGAAGGACCGATTATCCAGAGTATAGTGTTGTTGATGTAAAAGATGTTGCTCTGGCACATATTCTAGCTATGGAGAGTCCTTCAGCTAGTGGCAGATATTGCTTGTCTGGAACACTACTATCAGCTTCTGAAGTTCTTAAAATCTTACATAAGCTTTATCCTCATCTAAACCATCTCCAGAAGTAAGCATTTTGATTTTTTTGAAGAATATGTGGTTAAAAAAGAAGGAAAAGTTTTGGGTTTATGTCTAATATTATTTTATTGGAGAATGTGTGGTTAAAAAAAGAGAGAGAAAAATGCATTATTGATAAAATGGGGCCCAAACAAGGGCCTAATAATATAATTTTTTCCTCAAATTATATTTATACATATTTAGTTTCTTTTATTATTTTTTCATTCTTTACTCTTCGGTTCCTTTTTTTTTTTTTTGTTTCACCAAAGATGAACGTGTAACAATTCATGTATGCCAATTGGGCCAGGGTTTAATCTAGGACTTGCGGCATACTATGTTTATTTAATTTTATTGTTCATCTATTTGAACTCATTTCAGGATACTTTTTCTTTGAACAATTGAGTGCTCACAACACACGGAATTAAAAAGTCTAAGGGCCCATTTGGTTTGTATTTCGGTTTTTGGTTTTTAGTTTTGAGTTTATTTTCTATTTTCTGTTTTAAGATTTCCAAAATGGCATTTGGTTTGCCACTTTGAAATATTATTTCTGAAAACAGAAAACTAGAAAACACGTTTAGGTTTGAAATTTTGAAAAATTATTTTATTACATTTTATTGCATTAAATATGTTTATTCAGTAAAAAAAAAAGGAACAATTTAATAAATAATAAATTATTTCCAAAATATAGGAAATAAAAAGAAATACTAATGCATGGATTTAAAATATTTTATCTGTATTCATTTAAATATTTTTAAAATTTTTATGTAAATAATAATTAGGAGCTAGAATTATTTCTATTTTTCATTTTTTTATAATTTTTATTTTTCTTGAAATTTTTATAATCTTTATTTTTTCAGAATTTTGATTTTAATTTTAATTTTTTTACAATTTCTAAATCTAAACACACTCAAAACGTCAAAAATGCATTTTAAGTTTTATGTTATAAATTTATCCTTATTTAGTTGTTTTCAAAAATGCATTTTTAGAAATAACAGACCAAACACGTTTTCAGTGTTTTGCTAAATTGAAAACAGCAAATCAATTTCTCCCTAAGCTTAATTTAACATGCATACTCATACATGATTTGAAATATTTTCCTTAAACAACTATTAGCAACCAAAGTACTTTATCATAATCAAAGGAAGCTCATTGTTTGTTATATCCTTTACTTGGTCTTAATTGCAGTATTGCAGAAAATCAGCATAATGTCAACCCACATCCTAACCGAGTGTCACAGGAGAAGGCAAAGCGTCTGGGCATCAGTTTCACTCCTTTTGAGGTTAGTCTAAAGGACATTGTTGAAAGTCTAAAGGAGAAGAATTTCCTAAGTTTCTAGGATCCCACCAGCACCATGGGATGTATCTACTTCAATTCAACCAATATGCTCTCAGGCATGGTCATATAAATAGATATTGTACATTATTATCATTGTCGTGGGAAAGATCAGCTTCAGAAATGTGTTATTTGTATATTCAAATGCAAATAAAAAGAGTCACATTTGTTTATGTTGTTTCGTATCATTAAACGTTGTGTATGAAGTTCTAAATTCAATAATGTTCAGCATATATAGATTCTTCCTGATATATTAAGTTCACAGCACATAAGCAAAGTAAGATGGCCATTCGACTTAACCTCAACAGGATATGGTATGATAGTTGCTTATTATTTATGAACTTAGATGAGACTGAGAAACTCCATTTTTCGAGCGATTTTGGTGATTTACATATGTCATTATACACACTGGATCCATATAGTATGATTTTGAGCCAGCTTACCTACATAGGGGGTCGTACATGCCTGTACCAGAGTCCTGATTGAGTTGCATTGAACAAAATTATCCATGAACTGTGATTTTCATTCCGTGATCTTGTTCGCTATCGAAAATTACTTTTCCTCGTGTTGTGTGCAATGGTAATATTTGAGATTTATTCATCTTTGTTTGTTCTGATTGTGATTTTAGTATGCAGCGGAAATAAGGATAGATTCTATCAAGATCGGATCAGTTCAGTAATAAGAACAGAACAAAGTATATTTTGAGAGAAACTTTTTTTTTTATATATGAATTATTTGATTTGAGTACGTGACAAACCTATTTATAGGATAGCATAAGACTACTAAGAGTCACACAATTACGAAGAATAATAATGACTAATAATGATGGTGAATGCATCCATCTCTTCATCTTCCTCTCCAACACTCTTCATATTTCATCATGTGGAGAAAATCAAAAGTCTTCAATAATCGACATTCTCCTCCTTGAAGCTTTTGGGTAAAACTCCAATCTTCAATCTTAAGTCTTCAAACCTAGATTTGGGCAATGCTTTAGTGAACATATCTGCAATTTGAGATTCACCTGGACAATATTGGAGATGAACTTCTCCTTCTTTCTCAGCTTGTCTGATAGCATGGAACTTCACTTTAATATGCTTGGTTCTTCCATGATCAACTGCATTCTTTGCAACAGCAATGGCTGATTGATTATCCACCATGATAGTTGTAGGATCATCTTGACTTTTCGCAAGATCATTAAGAATTTTCCTCAACCAAACGGCATGATTTACAGCTGATGATGCTGCAATATATTTAGCTTCTGCTGTGGATTGTGCCACTACTTCTTGCTTCTTTGAATGCTCCCGAACCAAGTGTAAATAGATAAGCACTCGTGCTTTTCATATCATCCACGGAACCTGCCCAATCACTATCTGAATATCCAATCAAATTTGAGCTAACTCCTCTAGCAAAATAGATGGCATGATTTATTGTTTCTTTGATATACCTAAGGACCCTTTTGGCAACTCCAAAATGTGTTTGTGATGGCTTACTCATGAATCTAGAAAGTAAGCTTGCCGCAAACATCAAATCTGGTCTTGTTGCTATCAAGTACAGTAAACTTCCAACAAGACTCCTATATTCCTTCTCATTGATTGGTTGGTCTCCATCTTCTTTGGATAATTTTGTGTTCAACGCAACTGGTATATCAACTGATTTACACTGCTGCATCTTGAACCTCTTCAAGATATCACTTGCATATTTCTTTTGTGAAATGAAAATACCATTTTCTGTTTGCTCAACCTCAATGCCCAATATATTAGGATCATGCAACTGTCCAAGATCATTAAGAATTTTCCTCAACCAAACGGCATGATTTACAGCTGATGATACTGCAATATATTGGAATAGAAAGCATAAGTGACTACCCAGGAATTCAAATTAATTATTTTAGTATTCTCCAATTCAACTACCCATCTTTGACAGAGCACCATGACTATTCTAACAGTCAAATGCAAGTGGTGTTTTAATTCGAATAGTCCATATGGGGGTACTGTTCTGATTCTCATGTAATCCACAATGTGTGTTAGTTTTAACATGTTGAACTAGATCAGAATCTGAAGAGTGTTGTTGCTTCAGTCTTGTGATAAAACAACCCGTAAAGCCCTGGTTTTTCTTAGGGCATGCAAGAGCATTTCCAAAGAGTTCAACATGGATTTATGCATGTTTAATGGTTGAACCTCAGAGAAACTAGTGTTTTAACGGTGTTTGTACTTTGTTCTTGTTGCCTCTGTGCATGAATATCACTAATTCCCTAACAGATCCTCTAATGGAACCTGATGTAAGGGAAATTATTCTAGGACTGCTAAGGAAGCTTGACAGGGTTGAAATGAATCGACACCATAAAAGATGATCCATTGCATTGTTGTCTCTTTGGCAGCAATTGTTTCTTAAGGCTAGTGTGAACAACAACATTAAAGCTATTCCTTGATGCTGAAAATGAACTAGCTGGAAGCCTCGGTACAGGTGAAACCAAAACCTTACTCCGATGTGTGAAACCAATTTGAGACAGTCGTCGCCTTCGTAGTATGGATAAACTATTTATGGATGATTTACGGCATTTCTTATGAAGGGAGTGGTTGTGTGATCTACAACTTTTGACTAAACCTCGTAAATGACACTCATGTCAAACTTTGCTGGACAAATGATATTCAATGTTCTAGCATAGACTTCATAAGTATTGAATGTTATAGAATAGCCACTGCAGGCACAGAAAAATCTGAAGGTTCTCAAAAAGTGAATGATGCCTGTTGCCTGCACCCCTGTGGCTTTGGTTGCGGTTCTAGGGCTCATCTGCCCACATGACATGTAGCTGAGTTCTTCAGCGTGTCCCGTCTTGATCTTATTCTTCAGAATTAATTTGAGAAGAGATTCAATAGCTACACAAAAATGTGTAGGTAATGGTTACTTGGAGCATCTCCAAGAGATTTTCTATTTTTTAAAAAGCATATTTTGTAATGTAAAGAGCATCAATAAATTTAGAGCTTGAAATTATTTAAGTACTCCAACAAACTCTTTATCTTTCACATTTAAATTTACAACACCCAAAAAATATTTATTGTTTTTTCTTATCTTTAATTTTCACTAGCTACCCTCCAAATTTTTGTATTATTTTTCTCTATCGAAAATTATACTACTTTGAATGCTTTTAATTATATAGAGTGAGCTTTGACTCTCAAAATTTAGAGACATAGACTCACTTTCTATTTTAAAATATTAATTTGAAAAGTAAGGTTTTAACTTTTTAGAATCGAAAGCATTTTATATTTAAAGAGTCTCTTGAAGATGTTTTTAGATTGGAGAAAGCACAAGAAAGAGAGGGAATTACATTTATACTAGCCCCCGTTTTGTAGCAATTTTTTACCCCCAAAATCACTTTTTACCGTTATTTCATTATCAGCCGTCATTTTTTACTTCTTCACACTCAATTTTCTCTCTAACTATCAAAAAATCAATTCTCAAAATCACTACCAAACAGGCCCTATATAAATGCAATAGCTACTTTCTGGGATTGGGATGCAAAATCTTTAAGTTTGCATTATCGAGAGTTCCTACAACTCATCAAAGACATTGATGAACTTCTTGTTGCAGATGATAACTTTCTGTTTGGTGTGTGGCTCGAAAGTGCTAAAAATTTGGCAGTAAATGCAGATGAGCTTGAGAATTAATTTCTTTCTTTCATTCTTTCTTTACTAGTCTATGTTACATGCGATGCACGAGTTGTGCATGAATTATGATTTGGTTAGCGTATGTATTGAATATGTTTGAAAATATATTGGAAGATGGAATTATTGACAAGGAACTAACCAGTGAATAATTGAGATAATAGTATACATATTGACGTGTTTGATTGTGATTTGTAAATTCATTGTAATTAATCATGTGTTTGTATTACAGTCAATGATAGATAAGAGAGAATAAAAATTAACTTCATTACCATCATTAATTACAGAGTATAGCCAAAATAAAAAATAATAATGACTGGTTTTCAAGATGGATGATGTAGGGATTACATATACATCATTTGTCATTACTTTTTTTGTTTTGCAGTTTTTGATCAGGAAATTATACATACTTAACAAAATAGAATTTTAAGATCAAATTTACAATGAAGACAAATTTCACAAATCGAAATAGCAAAAAATTTACAAAACCACACAGCACTCTTGTCAAAAGGTTGGTTTTGCGAAAAATATTTCGACTACCATTTACTCCAGTTTTTCTTTTTGAGCAAGTGGATTTGAGTCTGAACTCATGTTTTCATCACAAGCCATTTTTGAGCTGAAACTGTTATTGGAAGATTTGAAAAGGGCTTTTTTCGTTGGAGGTGACCAATCTTCTTGATAGTCTGCACTAACATCTTTCCCAACAATTTTCCCAACTTTTGTAACCTGACTGTCAACGTTTGTTTGGATTTTTGGTTCAAGACTTGCATGATCAATATTTGCTTGAATTTCTTTTCCTGGACTTGGATGGTCAAAGTCTGTTACAGATATGATATCAAATCTGTAACTTGATGAATTAGGTTCATTTTGCGATGCTTTCAAGTAGAAAGCTCGTTCAGTATCCTGCATTTTTTTAATGGTTGCTTCGAAATTTGTCTTTGAACCCTATGTTAATTTTAAACTGTATTAATATTAATCTACTAAAATATGTACTGAAAGGCAAAATGTTTGAGACAAGTTAGATTTTTTACAAATTTGGTTTCCTCCATCAAAGGCTTTAAACTTGTAACTAATAGTTTCTTAGCTGGTTCACCAATTGCATTTGCATTGATTGATCCCGTGACATCTGAAAGCTGCACATATGCTCTGGCTCTAAAGTGAAAAAGAAATTAGTATTAATAGATGCAAGAGTAATAAAGAGAAGTAGAAAGGTGTAAAAAATGAAAAGTAATTAATCGTTAGTGTATTTTACCAAGGAATAGCTTTGGAATTAGGATTTTTGCAAAAAATACAAAGATATGTTTCTCCAAAATGAACGTTCGACCATCTAAAACAATTGTTGCAGGCCATGTACCAGGATTTGCTATCAATTTTATCTGTTGTTGCTGTGCCGTTTATCCAATAAAACTTTCGCTGTTACAGTTTGGAGATATTTAGAGAAATTACAAGGAAAAATAAATAATATGATTGAGTGTATCTTGTCTTGTAATATATATTTCTATATTAGGAAATAAATAGAGATTGAATAGTATATGTAACCTTAATATTACCGCTAGAAGGTGTCTCTGAAGATTTTGAATAGGAGTAAA